GGTCTGGAGTCACATGTAGGCCAGACCGGGTAAGGTTGGCAGTTTCCTTCCCTAAAGGACATTATTGAACCAGATGGGTTTTTTCAACAATTGGCAATGGATTCATTGTCATCATTAGACTATTAATTCCAGATTTCTATTGAATTCAAATTGCAACATCTGGCGTGGTGGGTAGTGATTTTAACAAGGTCAGCCAAGTGGACACCCTAGAATATGATTTCCCTGATTGAGGCTGTTATCTGGTCCAATCAGGAAGCCCTGGCTGATAGATATAAACAGGACTGCCAGAGGTTCTGCTCACTCCGAGAGTTGGATCAGATAGCTGAAGAGATAGTGGAGGTGATCTTTCAGGAATCACTGGAGTCAGGGACGGTCCCAGAGGACAGGAAAAATTGCTAATATAACACCACAACAACACCCCCCCCCCACTCCATGTTTAAGAAGGGAGTAAAGCAAATGATGAGAAATTACAGGTTGATTAGCCTGACCTCGGTCATTGGTAAGATTCTGGAGTCTGTAATGAAGGATCAGATTTCTGAATACTTGGAAGTGCATTGTAAAATAGGGTGAAGTCAGCATGGTTTCATCAAGGGGAGATCATGCCTGACAAATCTGGTAGAATTCTTTGAAGAGCAACGAGCAGGTTAGACCAGGGAGAGCCAATGGATGTTATCTACATGGACTTCAAGAAAGCCTTTGACAAGGTGCTGTACAGGAGGCTGCTGAGTAAGATAAGGGCTCACGGTGTTAGAGGCAAGGTGCTAGCATGGATAGAAGATTGGCAGAAAGCAGAAAGTGGGGATAAAAGGATCCTTCTCAGGATGGCAGCTAGTGACTAGTAATGTTCCACAAGGGTCAGTGTTGGGACCACAACTTTTCATTTTATACATTAATGATCTAGATGAAGGAACTGAGGGCATTCTGGCTGAGTTTGCAAACGGTACAAAGATAGGTAGAGGGACAAGTAGTATTGAGGATGAGGGGAGGCTGCAGAAAGATTTAGACAGGTTAGGACAGTGGGCAAAGAAGTGGCAGATGGAATACAACATGGGAAAGTGTCAGGTCATGCACTTTGGTAGGAAGAATAGCAGCATGGGCGATTTCTAAATGGGAAGAAAATTCAGAAATCTGAAGTGCAAAGGAACTTGGGAGTTCTAGTCCAGGATTCTCTTGCTGTAAAATTGCAGGCTGAGTCGGTAGTTAGGAAGGCAAATACAATTTTGAAATGACTAGAATATAAAAGCAGGGATGTACTTCTGAGAATTTATAAAGCTCTGGTCAGACCACATTTAGAGTATTGTGAGCAATTTTGGGCCCCATACCTCAGGAAGGATGTACTGGCCCTGGAGCAGGTCTAGAGGAAGTTCATGAGAATGATCCCAGGAATGAAAGGCTTAACATATGAGAAATGGTTGAGGACTCTGGGTCTATGCTTGATGGAGTTTGGAGGAATGAGGGGGATCTAATTGAAACATACAGAATACTGAACAGCCTGGACATAGCGGACACTGAGAAAATATTTCCATTGGTAGGAGAGACTAGGACCCAAGGGCAGAGCCTTAGAGTAAAGGGAAGACCTTTTTAGAACAGAGGTAAGGAGAAACTTCTTCAGCCAGAGACTGGTGAATCTATAGAATTCATTGCCACAGAAGGTTGTGGATGCCAGGTCATTAAATATATTTAAGACATAAGTACATAGGTTCTTGATTGTCAAGGGGATCAAGGGTTACAGGGAGAAAGCAGGACAATGAAGTTGAGAAACTTATCAGGCATGAATAAATGGCGGAGCAGTATCAATGGGCCGAATGGCCTGATTTCTGCTCCTGTGTCTTACAGTCTTAATGTCAAGGACTCTCCACATGTAAATAATGACTTGGTCATGGGATACTGGCCTCTGTGGAGTTATTTCAGTGAGATTCAAACCTGGGACCCCAGAACGTTGCCTAGGTCTCTGGATTAATAGCCTAGCAATAATACCACTAGGTCACCACCTCCCCAGTGCAGTCATTCTTACTGTAATTCATTTTTATTTATTTTAAACACACAAAATATGAAATGTTTCCAAGTGTAACTTGCTGAAAAGGGCTCTGTAGAAAAGTTGCCAGAACATCAGAGCCAAAGACATGAATATTCTTACTGAGTTGCAATGGAAATCTTGTACTCTCAAAGTTAAGAAACCTGTAAAAAGTCAAACCATTGCCTGAGAGAAGGTGTCTGCTACAATCACTACAATTAGCACCATGCCAGGAACAGTAGATCAATGTTGAAGAAATCTGCATAATTTGATGTGCGCTGCCAGTGTGTGTGAAATCAGCAATATGTATGTGTCTATGCATATGATTTTCTGTTTGAAACTTTAAATCCTATGATTTTACAGTAAAAAGTGAACATCACTTGAGAACATGCTTTTGTTTACAGTTTTATGAGATGTCAAAAAAAGGAATTGCCTTGGAGCTGGTTCTGACAATGATCCTAATATTTTCTTTAATTCTCAAATTCCTGGCCATTAGATTTTAACAGGAGTAGTGAAATGCATCACAAGACAGCACATCATAATTTAAATTTCCATTTCTTCTTTCAGGCAAGGCAGGTCGACAATTCTAGGAGCACTCATTAATTAGTGTAATATATAATAAATAATTTCTACAGCTGAAGTTTGAAATCTTATGCAACTACTGATGCTGCTTGGCCTGCTGTGTTCATCCAGCTCTACACCTTGTTATACCACTGAAAGTATTTGTGTTTCAAAAAGAAATCATTTGTTTGCCCATTTTACAGCAGTTTTCTTATCATTTCAGGAGGAAGGGAAGGAGATACAGTAACTTCCAAGAGTTAATGGCAAAAAAGCAGTTGCAACCACACAATCTCTAGCTGTCATGGTGACAGCTGTTGCCTTGGCTGCTGCACACGATGCTCATCTCGATCATCCATTTCCACCCTTATCTAATCTCCAAGGTGAAGGGTCTGTGATAACTCCTACAGGGCCGTGGGGAATCACTAATTAATCTCCTCGTGGAGGTTGTTAAGTTTGAGTTCCCATAATCTGGCCCACGTGCCAATAAGAATAATAGGGGCCTTGTGTCGCAATAGTAGTGTCCCTATCTCTGAGCCAGGAGACCTGGTTTCAAGTCCCATCTGCTCCATAGGTGTGTAATAACATATTTGAACATGTTGGTTAGAAAACCTTCAGGTACAGGTGGCTTCAATAGAATTTGTGCTCCATTGATAGACCCAATCACCTTCAGAAACCCAACAATCCTGTGGAATGCAGTAGACTCTCCCTTATCCTCTGTGGGGGCATGTCAGAGTTAATAATGTCTGAAGACCTATGAAAAATGCAGGTCCCTCACATGATCTTTTCCACATTCAACATCTCACAGAGGCATCCAACTCACCAATTCCTGATGAAGCAATGTCATCATATACAACTCATAGAAATCATTTCATATGATGTCCTCTATCCGGATTGTGTAGTTGTTCCTCCACACAAGCAACTGAATATGTTGCCAGCCTTTCCTTTGATGGTCCCTGTGCTTGCATCTTGTCCTCAACATTAACAACATAATGGCACTGATATCTCCTGCTAAAGGTTTTAGCACTGAAAGGCTTATAGAATATGTGCTTGCATCTTGTCCTCAATATTAATGACATAATGGCAGTGATATCTCCTGCTAAAGGTTTCAACACTGAAAGGATTATAGAATACCTGTTAAAAGTAAGAGATAAATTAGCTTACTTTTCTCTTTCATATATTGTATGTCATAAAGTAACACAGTGAATTATAAAATGATGCAGAACTCATTATCTGTGTTCTGAAACTGTTATAAAGATCAACATTATAGAAACTCAGCACTGAAATACACGAAGCAGCATCACAGAGCAACATTGCATTAGTAACTTAAATATTCTTAGCAGCATTACAAAAGCCAGCTAAAAAGCTTACTTTTAAAAAGCTTTCACTGTTCAAACTTGCACTAGATATGGTCTCAAAACTTAAAAGTCCATAGTATGGAGGATCACAGAAGCCAGCTGAAAGGCATTGAAAATACTGGTAAAGGAAATCTAAAGAAGCTGGAAACTAGCCTTTCCTGCTTCATCAGGCTCCAAAACAATTTGTTAAAAAATACTGCTACTTACTTATGGTGTTGCCACTTGCTGGTCTCTCTAACTCAATAGGAAATTCTATCATCCCATACAGAGTCCGATATATTACAGACATCTTTGAGGTGCGTAAAACTGTTTTTGCCCTTATTTTTCACTTCAGCCATCTTCTATCCAATCTAAATCTGACAAATGTTCCGGTAATGTATGTGTCATTCATATCCAACATGCTAAAGAATCTTTGAAAGCACTATTAAAATGAAGTAAACACAAAATCCTTTCTCAGCATCAGAGGCTGTCAGGTAACCTTATCGAGGTTTATAAAATCATGAGGGGCATAGATATGGTGAATAGCCAAAGTCTTTCTTCATTCCCCAGGATAAGGGAGTCTAAGACTACAGGGCACAGGTTTGAGGTGAAAGGGGAAAGATTTAAAAGGGGCCTGAAGGGCAACTTTTTCACACAGAGGGTGGCGCCTGTATGGAACAAGCTGCCAGAAGAAGTGGTAGAGGCATTTAGAAGGCATCTTGATGGATACACGAATAGGTAGGGTTTACAGGGATACGGGCCAAACGGGACTAGGTCAGTCTAGAATAAACACCAAAAGATCTGCGGATGCGGTAAGTCAGAACAAAAACAGAAATTGCTGGAAAAGCTCAACAGGTCCGGCAGCATCTGTGAAGAGAAATCGGAGTTAACGTTTCGGGTCCTGTGATCCTTCCTCAGAACGGTCTATTTCAGTTTAGGATATTTGGTCGGCATGGAGGAGTTGGACCGAAGGGTCCGTTTCAGGCTGTATGACTCCATTCTTAAAACCAAAAATAGAAAAAGTCAGTTTTTATAATTAGTTTTGCAAATTTCAGTTGGTGAAACTTGTCAATAATCAAGACTATGGTGAAAAAAATTAAAAGCCCATTCATTAATTACTGTGGGCTTTTTTATTACAAATGTAGCAATTTTAACGCTTATTTAATATATAAATAATGAGACGTTTTACTTCATAAGTAGCGTTTTGCCAGAATTTTGACATGGTTTCTTTAAGTAGAAACAAGCAAACTTTGCTCTGTAAAAATGGAAACATTTCTTCCCAAAAAAAAACCTGAAACCGTAACTTGGTGCCTTCTTGAGAAATGGAAAATATGTGAGTATTTCTTCCGCACCGCTTCTGTTACTCCATGTGCCGTCCCGATAGGGAATGAATCATATTTCAATTATTGCTTGCCTTTTGCTATTCCCAGAAACGCTGTTCACATTTCGAAAGCGGAGTTTGGAAACTCCTTTTGTTGCCTTCGAAATGGAGGCAATCTCCTTCACTCTCCCCGCCGGTTCCTTCTTGGAAGTCAAGTTCACAACTTTCACAACGTCCCCACGCAAAGAGGATACGGGAAGGAACCGGCTGAGAACTTCTGAGTTCCGTTTCAAACGTTCAAGGACTCCTTGAACACGACTGATTTCATCCCTTGTGAATTCATAATAACAAAACCAGAAAGTGCTTGGAAATACTTAGTAAGTCGGAGAGAAGCAAGGGTTCACGTTTCGAGTCAAATATGACTCTTCTGTTCAAAATGTCTTTTCTTTTTCCCGGTAGCGGAGTTGAACTTTCGTTGTCTGAACACGTCAGGGAATACGTTTGCATTTGTAATTAAGTGAGTTTAAATGATTTCGAACATGCATGTGAAAAGGGAACCTGCAAAGGTAGCAAGAAAAAGTAGCAATTATCTCTTGGAGTTTTGAATGGAGAGGGGGCGATGCAGTGTTACTATGCACCAAGTGATGGCGCCACCAGATCTTTGTGACAAGGGGCTGGCAGGAGGAGCGGCTTCGTGACAATTTACATAGAGTTAGTTACACTCATCTCAACCCCACCAAAATAGAAAGATGAGCCAAGCCAATTGAGAGACGTGCTTTTGAGGGGCATTCATTCTGCTTTCTGATGCATTCCGGGCAGATACCAAGGGTTTCTCTTCTCCTCGGTGCATCAGTTCCTTACTGAGAACAAAATTCCACTTTTACCGAAGGTCAGAATCTCCAGTTCCGGGATAACTTTGGCAGACAGCGGACTGATCCATTACGCGAATAAACAATCCGGAAGGGAGGGAAAACAAGCCAATAGACAGACTTTAAGAATGAGAAACAACAGTCATAGAGACGAGTGGTAGAGTCAAAGTATAGCAACGAGACGGGGAAAACATTACACATTGTGAATGAAAGAGAGAATGAAATTACAAGCGAGTTCTGACGGAGGCAAATTACTGGAAGAGTGTTCCTAATATTGGGCCGCCTAATATTTTATGAATCGAGGACAATATGCCACGTTTGTAAATCATTGCTACCGGCAAGGGACAGGCAGGAGGGGATTAGCTCAGTTTAGAGAGGGGAATGTAAGAGTTACTCTCACCTTCTAAGAATGAAAGCACTGAATCAGACTCCCCCAGAACTAGTTAGAAATCAATACCCGTAAAGGAGCGTATTCTTTAGACACTTCCCTTTTCTGGCAAATCGCCCATTTTTTTTCTTTTTGAATCACGTTGTTACCAGAACTAATGCATTTCCAGGAACGCGAGGGGCGGAGCTTCAGCACACTATAAAGCTAGGCTCCCAGAACAAGTCTGTTAGAAGGTATCAGAGAGATCGTGATAAGCACCGTTCTAGAGAAGTCTGGCAGCCGACTGATCGACCCACACACACAAACTTTATCGACTTCTTGAAATACATTTAAAAGGGCATTGATTTGAAAGGAGCCAAGCAGACGGAGTGCTCTCGACGTAAGCGTTTGTGTGGTTCACACACACACTGGCTCAGAGACTGTAAAAGAAAATTACCTTGGGTTCTTTCCGCTGCTGGACCTAAGACAGTTTCAGTCCCCAGCTTTTATTAAAAAGGATCTTACTGCTTGATCTGAACAGGAACAAAAGAAGTTGCAGTTGAAGGTAAGCTGCCTGGATTTCCTGTCAGTCTTGCTTCGGGGCTATTTCCCATCAGCGCGTGCAGTTAGGAACTTTATGGGGAATCTTGGGTTGCAGTTTTGCGAGGTTCTTTTTTAAGAATAGAATTATCCTGGAGTTTTTGTTGGGAACTTTTAAGAAACGTGGAGCAGAAGTTTCATGCATAATGTGCTTTGAAAAGGTCATGTCTTTTCATGTCAGCGAGAATGATAAATGTAGCAAGGACATGAAGACAGTGCCGGGATCTCTAAGCAAATAAAGACAACAACTGAGAACAAGACAAACCTTTCAACTTTCACTGTTCCTATTATTGAGGGAGTGAAAGTCTACAAGGTTCATTCATTTCGTTTCTTCAGACCCCGCTGAGTGAGCCCAGCATTTTTATCTTTTGTTAAACAACAGTCCCTTCCTTTGCATAATGAAAATAGGTTCACCTTCTGCAGTACTGTCCAGTTCTACGTTATAGTTAAACACATTGTAGTATCAATTATTAACTGACGTTTATGTATATGTTTTCACAGACGCTGGAAACCTATCAACAAGCCACTTATGTTTTAGCAGAAGTTTACAAATTCTCCCTGAACTTCCAATATTTGGACGTATCTGCAATGGTAACATACAGTAAGTTTGACGGGATGAGCCGTCCTGTCGATGTCCCGGCACAAAGACTCTCTTACCGACTGAAGACTTTTTCTTCCAAAAACGAGTACAACCTGATTGTGAACACTGTGCGGAAACTAAAAGAGAGTGGTTTTTACTGGAGTACAATGAATGGGGGGGAGGCGAACATCCTCCTTAGTCCCGAACCAGTTGGAACTTTTCTAATAAGGGACAGCTCGGACAATAGGCATTTCTTTACGCTTAGTGTTAAAACGGAATCGGGTACCAAGAATCTGAGGATACAATGTGAGAACTGCTCATTTTTCCTGCAAACGGACCCTAAGAGCACCCAAACCGTTCCTAAGTTTGACTGTGTGTTAAAACTGATCCACCATTATATGCCTTCAAAATCTACAGACTCAGGGAATGTGAAGAGAGTTTATTTCATTTACTCTGGAGGTGACAAAATTCCTTTGGTGCTCTCCAGACCTCTCTCATCTAGTGTTTCAACACTTCAGCACCTGTGCAGAAAAACTGTAAACGGACATATGGAGGTATCTGGTAAAGTCCAAGATTTGCCTATGCCTGTCAGACAGTTCCTCAAGGATTATGATGCTCCTGTATAATCCTGAAATTGCCATATGAACTCTCGAAGAACCACATAGCCTCTTGGCTGGAAATCTAAGCTTGAAGAAACAGAAACATTTGCACTCATTTTTTATTTATAAAAGGTTTCAATAATTTATAATAAAATGCACTATTTTTAATGACAACAAAATTGCATGCTTCGTTTCTGAAATACGTTATGTGTTGCTGGTGGTGCTTTTCAACCAGATGGTGTTTAAAACATATAGTTCGAAACATGTGTCAGACAAAGTGGAGTTCCAAATGTATATATCCCTTACTGCGTTTTACTGTGTCAGATTCCTCCAAACACTATCATGTAAAAAGCACAATCTGCTTTCAACTAGCCTACAATGCCATCCAGTTCCATTATTTAAGGGCCAACTTCATATTACTCCTTAGCATGTTACCAGAAAAAAAAGTTTTGTTCTCTACATCACTCCGAGCTCAATGTCAGTTGGAATAATATTTGCATCCCTTATGAGTGTGGGGCCTAAGGTAGCTAGTATATTAAACTATTTTAAAACACACCAGTATAGTAACATTTCATTAGGATATTCAAAGTACTGCACATTTCTAGCTGTTTTACAGCACTGTAGTTAAACTATGCTGATATTTAGACAGATGTAAATACTCAAGGACCAACATCACCATGTTTAAAGAGGTTTGGTGCTGTGCATTGTTCGAACAATTTCAAGTGCTGCTGTTTTCTGCGAAGGTTTCTCTGAAACAGACAGACTATTGACTTTCATTCAAAGCACCACCCCATCTGTTTTCACACGTTTATTTCCTGTAATGCTTAACTAGTGGCTAGAGTTTTTGCATAAACATTTAATTGTGCTTTCTATGAATAAGAAGGATCCCTTACATAGTTAGAAAGGAACAAAGATATTATGTGTATTCAGCAAATATAATTTTAGTGAAAAGCACTAAATTGGATTCTAAACAATTTATGTAAATCGTTTGCATTCAAAATCTAAGTTTAAAACTACACTTAAATTGATAATTCACAGAAAAATATCCAAACTTAGCTGCATTTAGCACATGATATTTAATGGACTCTAGTAGAGCCCCTAGAACACCATTATCATAACCCCTGTGGCATTTGGAAATGTGCATGTGATTCCATTAAAATGCTGTCCAATTTGCAAATCTTTCATTCAGTATAGCTTCAAAAGCCTCTAAAAGCCTATAGCAATAAAGTAGAATCTTCTATGCAATCTCTTTTTATGGTTGTACTAAGTGTTTAAAGGCTGAGTTTGTAATGAAAGCTATAACTTACAATGAATTCAGCTAGTTTGACGATGAAGGAAGTGCTTGTAACAGCAGGTAGTTATCCATGAACAGCTGAAAGCTTCAATCATTGGTACTATGTAGATGATTATACTCAAATCAATAGCTGTTCTCCCAAGCCCTCGGCAATGTAATCCCCTTCATCTAGGGCAGCAACATCAGTCAATTCTGGCTTGATGGAAGTGTGTTCTTTTGAAATCAATTTATGCTTGTGCCAGTAATCAGTTGCCACTATATGCGCAAATGTGAATGACTGGGAATACTGATAAATTTAAATAGCTGTGGTTGTGTGGTTTGATTGTGTACACTGCATAAGCTTTTCCACTGTGCTGTAAGAATATATCATCCAATTTAACAAGCACTGGAAATGTAAAGACATTATTAAATATCTAATCTATCTCAAAATATTAATTTTCCTAGAGAAACTTATGGTTGTCTAGATTTAGAAAACATATTAGAAACCGCATACTCATTTAACTCCCATCTGAATGAAGATATAAAGATTTTGTTTCAATGGAAAGCATAACGATGTATACAACACTGTAATGGTTGACAGACATGCTGCTTTTCCTGTATAAATTCAAGGACAAATGATTAGTCTTGTTTGCTTTCTATATTTCACTAGTGATCAATGTATTGAACACATATGTAGTGCTGGCGGATGTGAACTACCCACACCCAAGGTCTGCCTTGGACCTGGCTCCATTCCAAACTGACCTTAACTGACAGTGAATTCTATTACAAATTATTGCTTCCCATCAAGTTAAATTACATTAACTGCTGCATTCAGTTACTTATGATATGAATTCAGCAGCAATTTTCCAGTTAAAGGCTCTGAGTAACCCAGTAAGGTATTTATTGACATAAAATGTTTTCCACTGGATAAGACTATAAGATATTCTAGACCAACTTTTGAGATTAGTGCTGAGTACTGAAACAAAAAAGAAAATAATGTTCTGTGCAGCTCAATTTCATTTCAACGCAGTGAGGTAAGTAATATAATAGCTTCACTTAGTAACCATTCCTTACTGCACAGAAAAAGTTGGAATATGTGTGATTACAGCTCTTTTGATTGATGTAATTTACATAAGCATGCTCAAAATGAATATCCCAGACGACAAAAATAGAAGAGCATCTTCTGTTGGTTTAGTGAAATTATTCAGTGATATTCTGAAGTTGAAATCCAGGAAATTCGTCAGATTTGTACTCTAGGCTGTATGGTTATTGGATCTCATCCAAATTAGTATCAGGGTCCTGCAATTAACATTTTCCCTCTCAAGTTCGGAAAGGGATAATCCTGACTGACGTACAGTGATCCTGATGTAAATGTTTAAATGTATAGCTATATGAATGTGTGTGTGTGTGTGTGTGTGTGTGTGAAATGTCAGATGAGGATATGACATGGCTCACCTTTGGTGACTGCTTCAATTAAGTAGTTTGCAAACACACTGTTAAGATTCACAGATGAATAACGATATCATGGTATAGCAAGTATGTGTAATTGGCAAAAGTGAATCAATACCCCAGCAATAATTAATGCATTTGACAGAGATGGAGGATGGAGCAAATTTTATTACGATAAATAGTGGTGCAAATAATCGGAATATATTGGAAACGCTAAGACTTCCCTGAGCAGAGTTAGGCATCCAAATAAATGGTCAGGCACATATAATCTCAACCGATGAGAAAATAAGGTAGAGCAAGAGAATCAATCAAAGCTTTAAAAACTTTTAAGTTCAATGTCTTAATTACTTTATTTATCACGAAGGTAAATCCAACAACATAATTTTAATTCAGGTGTAAGAAAATTGATTACGTGTCTGGAATCGTCAGTAACTCGAGTGCTTTTAATTAGGGACATGGCTTTTGCACCTTATTCCATGCAAATAACTAGAATTTATACTAACAGGAAAATAATCTGTTAGTTTTGAATCGGTGGGAGTAATATATGCGCCTTCAAACAAAAAGTAGAAATAAATTCAAATTATTTCGACTATTAATTGCAGTGAGCGTAGTTTCTAC